TTCGGACCGACACGTATCGGTCCGTATATGATCGGTCCGCATACGTCATTTTTCTAGTAGTGATTGAACCTTCACTCCATACAAATTAGAATCATGTTAATAATAATTAAACATCAATTTTGTTAAGTGGGAAAATCTCACATCAAGTATAAAATTAAGAAGCTTGTGGGTTAAATATAAGGAGGGCTACTCCACCTATTGCCAATTTGTTTTAGGTTGGATGCAAGTCTTGTATTGAGCTTACATACAGGATTTTCAATATGGTATTAGAGTCCAGGTTCTACCATGAGAAGCCCGTTGTTAGCCCACCTGGCAGGACCCGAAGTTGATACCGGGCCTGCATTTAAGGGGGTATATTAACTCACATGACAAGACTCGACATTCATAGCGGGCCTGTACGTGAGGAGGCGTGTTAAGTGGGAAAATCCCACATCAAGTATAAAATTAAGAAGCTTGTGGGTTAAATATAAGGAGGGCTACGTACTCCACATATCGTCAATTGATTTTAGGTTGGATGCAAGTCTTGTATTGAGCCCACATGCAGGATTTTCAATAAATTTGGAACTCAAATTAAAAGAAAATAAATTTAAACTAAGAAAGTTATATTATTTAAAATTATTATCAACTATATATATATATATATAATTTAATAAGCTTCGATTCAGTTACCTGGCCTGCCAATAGTAGTAACAAGCTTCCTTGGTTCGACATGTTTATCGTGTCCCGCGCACAATCCAGCCATGAGGACTGCAAGAATGAAGACCGCCCATGCCCATGGTCTAAAGACCAATGTTTTCCCAGCAGTCATTTTACTGACAAATATTGGTTTGCAGAAATGGGAATAAAATTGCTAGCTATGGATTATATAGGATCTAGCAAACAAGGATTTACCTTTATTGGAGCATAAAATACGACAAATGAAACGCATTATTTCTCGATGAACGCTAAGCACACTTTTTCTACACTCCTTTTTAGATACTCACCTATGTGATTGGCCATAGAATATAAATTTATTATGGTTAGTCATAATTTTAAATATTCAAATTTCAAAAACATTAACTTTAATATCAATTATTAATTATCAATTAATTTAAATTTATATTTAACATAAAAAGTATTCAAAAGAAAATATTTAAAAAGAATGTCAGAGAGAGTATCCCTAAAACTCTTTATGTTTACTTGTGATACTTGCTCCTAAACCAAGATTTGAGCTTATAAAGTCTTAGAGGGTGTTTGTTTTAGCTTTTTGCAAATAATTATCAATTATTAATTCTAATCAAATAGATTAAATTAAATATTTTAAAATATAAACAACAACAACTATTAATTGTCAAATATATCATCTATCAACTATCAATTGTATTGAAATAATTAATCCAAACAACTCCCAAGTTTGCCCATATTGTTGATTTTTTCCTCCATTGCCCCACACTCGGAATTTTCAAGATGTTTGTGATATTAATGTAGGACAATGATATATGCATTGTGCAATGCATTTTCAAGTTTATAAAGTATATATGGACCACTCCACATCATGAAATTAATCTCCATTAGTTCCCCATATCTCTGCTTAATTTATTCCCTAGCTATAGTTAATTAAGTCAACGTCGAGACTCAAGACTAAAAAAAGTTGCTTGCAAACTAGGTTCTAAGTGGATGGAAAAGGTCAAACAATTTATATGAGCGTAACTTTTCACGTTTGGTATTTTGAGGTCATGTCCATATAATGTTGCTTGTATAATAAATTTTTAAAAAGTTTTGAAATGTGAAAATTGGAGGTTTCCATTAGAATTTGGAAGTCAATTAATTAATCAACTGATCTTTAAATCATAAGTCTGTAACTGCAACAAACATCCACCTAACATCTAACTGCTAAGGAGTTTAATTCTATGCAATGCTCTTGGTCCCTTGTTCATAAATTTTCCTAAACCGACTGGAAATTAATTAGAGGCTTCTGCCTCCAATAATTGTAATATGAGAAAAATCCGTTCATCTGTTGTTGACTTGATTTTACTCCCTAAGGCTAAGAAAAGTTGCTTTCAAAACATTATTTTATTTAGAAGGAAAAAGTCAGATAATTCGCACCAGCAAAAATTTTAGAGCAGTGCTAGGGGCACTCGCTTTCTGCACTCTCCGGCTAACACTGCCCCTTTCATTGGGCCACGTTGTTTTAGTTCGGCTGAGGTTGCACTTCAAAGCTTAAAACAACCATACGTGGCCCAATGAAAGGGGCAACGTTGGCCGGAGAGTGCAGGAAGCGAGTGCCCCTAGCACTGCTCTAAATTTTCTATTTGGCATTTTGGGAAGGTAAAGAGGGTAAAATTGAAAGGAAAAAATTAATACAACATCGAAATCCTAAAACGTCAATAATTAGTAACAACTCAAAATTTTCCCAGCTAAAACGTCCAATATATTTTTTACTAGTTTGGAATGATAAAATATAATAAAAATAATAAATAAAATATAAAACACTCACACTGTAAATTCATAATGCAAAGGGCATACCCTCCTATCTGTGCCTTGTAGCCATAGAGAACGAGGGGGGATTACATCTACAATTCCACGAAGCATTGTCTATTGAACTACTTAGGAAGAGGAACACTTATTTCAAGTGAATTACTTATGGCTCTGTGTCCTTTGAGTTTTTCTGGAATCCATTTCTAAATCCAAGCACTCTTTAAGTTCTGATAGTACATGACTCATGTACGGCCTTTGGATTCCAATCGGCAACACACATGACATTGCTATCTCCACTGCTTTCCAGGATGCACTGATGTTGAATTCACCTTGTAACCTTGGATTAGTGATGCTCCGGATATATCCACTCTTTCAATCAAAGGATTAATCCGCTCAATTATGCTAATATTGTATCCTTCACCTCTTATTATGACAGGTCAACAACTGATCAACTGTGAGTATTATTCCAAAGTTATAGACAGCACTTTTCTTGTTAATCATCGGCTGCCCGCAATAGATTCTTATGAAACCTTAATTAAAAAAGTTCGTTAAAACAATTGGAATCAGAACAAATGTGTACAGAGAACATAATACATTCGGTTAAACTTGACAAATATTCATGACGAGAAGGTGTGTAATGCAGATGGTATTAGCTGGTTTCTCTGTGGCTAGCTTTCTTCTTTCGGTATATGTTCAGCATCTGTACCCGAACAGGATTCCACCAGTAACAAGACTATCCATGGTTTGAGAAAAAATGGCAATGATTGTCCAATGGAGACAATCCATGTTGGCGTTTTTCTTATCATTCTTATTTAGATAACCAGTTAGTTTGAAATCTTCTAACAGGGTACCATAAAGAAAAGCTGGGGTGAAATGAATTGGTTGAACTTGTCATGAATACATGCACTAGCACTAGTACATAGGAAATAACATAGTCGTGTTGTTTTTTTCTTCTTTTTTTTTTTTAAATACTAATTAAAAATTAATATTTGTTCAGTCAATGAGAAGAATCAAACTTGGTGAACTGCACCTGTTTTTTATGAAAAAAAGGTAATCCATCTACTATATCATATAAAAGAATTTAATCGTATTGGTGTATTTTGACTCTAATATTTTATTGATTTAGAATTAAATGTTTGATGTGAATATATAAAAGTGATTTAAGACATTTTAGTATATTTATTGATTAATTTGAAGGATTCAGAGAGATGCATTGCATCCGTTGATTCAAAGATTGAACAGCTGAAACTTAATTAATCTAGCATAGAAGAATGATAGTTCAGTTATTCCTCCTCATTAAAGTCCAAGTTGCGGTGCACCTAGGCCTTCGGTCAAAGTAACTTTCGAACCACTTTGAATGTGCAGAGCAGTCTCACTTCTTCTGATGAATTCAAGGTTCAAATTGCAGGACACTTTGTTAAAAAAAAAAATTCCAAGTTGCGGTAGCATTATTTCTCAATATTGGTGAAGCTTGGGGTGGTCTATCTACTGTAAAGAAGTTCAAAAAGGGTGTGCTACTGCTGACAGTTGACAGATGGTACACCTGACAGTCGATAGATGGTAGTTTTTTTTTTTTTGGTTTTTTGACAAAGGTAATGATTAAAAAGTTAGTAGAGTTAGATATTAGCGATTGAGACTTCCCAGAATAGTGAACATTTCACCTCTCAGATGAGGCGTGCGACCATTAGGTCGCAAGTTGATGAAGTTCGCGACGATGACAGAGTTCAAAGCTTGACCTCTCGTCTCACACAAACCCTATGACTTAAAGCAAACCACTGGCACAGAGGCCCGGTTGGCGATAGATGGTAGTTAATTGAGAAGAAGCAACGCAATTTGGGAGCAGAAATTAATTAGGATCAAATCATCATAAATATGGAGCTGCGGCGATGACCAACTGGCTAGACTTGTGATCCATGGCCCCTGTGCATGACAGAGACATCTGAGTGTTAGTGGATGTGGTTATTTTTCTTA